ATCAATCTCTCTTAAAATAGAATGACTCAATTTCTCACACCAAGAGGGGGTGAATTAGTGAAATATAAAAATAAAATCTTTAAAAATCTTTTTCACAAAAATGATGCCTTAATACTTTTCTTGAATCGCAAGATAAAAGATTTTCAATGCAGTGGAAATTTAATCGAATGAATGCAGAACATAATCGATTAAATAAAGAGAGTAGGGATGAGAAAATTCAAACACTGTGTTTTTATACTGGTTCGACCAAGCCTACATCCAGTGTCCTTCCAACCACAGGAAGCCAATGCACTCTAAAGATCAAGGTTTTTACAACAAGGCTTTTATAGCGACCTCACGTCAAAAATATAAAACACCTCTCTAACCCTCTAATCAAAATATAGGCAATACACAACAAGACCAGCAACAAGAATCCCCTCTTTTGCTGTCTAAACCCTTTGAGACACTCTCAAAGTCAAGAACGTCGCACGCTCTTCTTCCTGTAACCACAACAGGGAACTTCAAACCAATCTTCAAAAGATTGTAAACTCTAATCTCTCCACGACACCAAATGTGCAAGTTGACCAGCCTTTGAGAAACACAACAATCTTGTTCTTCAAGAAATCACAAGCAGTTGATCACCACGGTCACTCTTGTTTCTTGGAGCTTTTCTTTACTTTCTGTAAAATCACAACTTTCAGCAAAAGATATGAAAATGTTATAATCACAAAAGTTCTTACAGAAATCAAATCTGCGTCAATTTATAGAATAACTCACCTCAGACGCATTTTAATCGACTTAGCTACTAATGCATTCGAATACAACAATTTTGTTATAACAGTTAGCAGCAATCAGGGCAATTAATTGAATGCGCAATTAATGCAGTCGACTAACATTTAATGCTTGGTCAACACAATAAAAAATGACTTTTAGACAGTTATGTCAAGCATTAACAGTGTTTCAAAACAATAACTACCTTAATCGAATACAACACACATGCAATCGATTATGAAACAATGTTAAGCATAGTTTTGAAAAACTTTCTCTTTGAAAACTCTCACAGCACACTTGAAAATAGTTTGTGCAAAGACACGAGTTTTAATCAATTCACCCCATAATGAAGTCGACTTAAAATTGTTGTTTTGCCACACATTTAAAGTTTAAGATAAGTGCTTGTGATTTTCCTTTTCAGCATCATATGTCATGCATTCACATATAAAAACACATGTGTAACATAGTGATATGCAATGAACAACACAAACATGCTCTCATATATGCTTAAATAAATTTAATACAATGATCAAAAGCATATAACATGTAAATATGGAACATGTAACACATAATATACATGTGTTATTAATTATGTGTTGTCATCATCAAAAACTCAGTTATTACTGAGATTGTGGGTTCAGTCAAACCTTTGCTCTCCTATCAACAATCTCAACAATCTCCTTTCAACATTTATAAAGAGACTATCATCATGATTGTTCTATAGACACATTCCAAGCCTTCTGATTATTTTACTTCTTCTCAAAAGATGAGCTCAATCAAATGTTTTAATTGGTTAGAATATATGAACAGTACATGACTAATAATTCTACCAAAAGAGTTGTGCTCTTAAGAATAGAAGACATATGGATAGTGAACATTCTTCATCTTCTACTTTTTCAAGTGATGATAAATGTGTTATTGAAAATTTGAATGGTAATTTGTTAATGATTAAACAAATGGTTTTTAAACATAAAAAATATTTAAATGATCTTCAAAGAGGGACTTATACATTCATTATTAATAAAGGATGTTGTACATTTCAATTAAGAGAATGTTAGATAATTCTTTTGTGTTAATCATTACTTTCCCAAGTGCATGCAAACTTCAATGAAACATTTTTTAGTAAGAGAGTAAAATGTAGACCACAAAAGAAAAGTACAAACAAAAAAAAGATACGAAAAAATATAAAGGGAATAACTTTTTTTTCAAAAATTAAGGAAAGTTCATCAAATAAATTATTATTAACTTTACCATCTTTGCATTATTTTCAAAATAATAATGAATTGTATTTTGCATCTTTAGGTTTGAAAGACCAATCATGTGAGGTTGAGTACTTAAACAAAGGACTTAAGGTACCTCTTGGAATATTAAATCTCTATATTTTTGTAAGGGCTAAAGATAATAAGATATTTCAAATCAAGAGCATGCACATCTTATTTGGCATATGAAACATGTGCATAAAACAAACATTAGTTCTTTGAAAATAAAAAGTTTCAACATAAACAGTAAAGTTTTGAAAGCTTTCTCTTCGAAACATGAAATTGATTCTATTTGAGGAAATTCGAAGAGATAGAAAATATAAAAATTGTTACTAATAAATTTCTTTTGAAACTAAGTTTCTTTGATGTAGTAAAAGGAAAAAAAAAATCAACTTTGATCTGACATATTATATTTTTTTATATAGGTCTTCTTAAAAACTCAAGGTCGAATTCTCTCCAAAAATTGGAGAATGAGGAGTGCATGGACAAAAAAAAATATTTATTAGAAAATAAAATACTTGTTCGTGTTTTTAGAAAAGAATTCACTTTGATTGTAAATTTTAGCATTTACCTCTTTGTATTTTTTTTTTGTATTTTGTTTCATAAATTTTGCAATTTAATTCTTGTAATTTCCCTTCCTTAGTATAATATTTTATTCAAACCTTTGATTACATCTAATTACACAAAAAGAAGTGAAAATGATATTCGTACTTGATGTTTAAATTTAAATTATTTTTCAAGTCTTAGTTTTCAATGAATATTTTATCCTTTTAATCAAAGTTCTGTTTAAAATATGAGTGTAAATTTGAAAACATAGTAAATAACACTTACAAAGTTATGAATATTTTATTTTCCTACACAACCAACAATATTGGAAAAGGACAAAGTATGTCAATCCACTTCAGCACTAATTAATGAGAACGCATAGATCTAAAACTCAGAAGAAATTTTGTTGATAAGACAACTGTGACAAACAAGATATTCAAGAAAAAATAAAAAAGCATTTTATAGTAAAGATGTGAAATTTCATAACATTACCAAATTTCATGTAAAAATTATGGTTGTTCATTTGATACAAAGCTAAGGAATAAGAAAACGGAAGCTAGGAAGTTGTACTAGTGACAAAAGATGAAGATGCTTTACAAGATGAAGATGAAGTTGGTGCAAGTTTACCATAAGTTTTTCATAAGACATTCAGTATAACCAATTAAAATCCAATTGTCTCAATCTGTACCAAACTTCCATCCAATAAAAGCATTGAAGGTTGTACCAATTCTACAATTTTAGCACTAGTGACATCAACACATATCATGCCTATATTTGTATATTTTGGTTGCTAATGACTACTTTATAATTTTATTTTGAATAATGAATGGTTGAAATTTTATGTATTTTTCTAATCATTGTCCTTTTATAATTGCTTATATTATGTCATTGATTATCTTCAAAAATTATGCTTCAATATTCTATATAAGCCTAATTATGTAGTAAATCCCAAATTCTGCATGCACTTCATTATCATTGGATTTAGAGTAAATTTTTCAATTCTATAATACATGAAATTCATGACAATTTGATTTACATTACTTATATCAAGTTATAGAAAAAGCATCATGAAATAATAGTAATTGTTACAAATTAATATTATCTATTATATGTTAGCAACAACTTACAACTAATATAATAAATACAAACAATGCAAGTGTCATCATCTTCAACACTTTTAACTCCACTGAACTATGTATCACAGCCACGAATTTAGCTCTTTGTATCTTTTATTCCTCTCTTCCATTTTATTTTACTTTTATGATATCCCGTAAATTATTCTCATTTACCATATTTTCCCAAATGAAAAAGTGACAATTATTTGTGTGATCCCGCAATATAAAATCAGCTTAGAAAACATAGCTTTCATGTCATAGTTAATTACAACTTTCACAAATGAAAAATACAAAATTTTGTTACCAAATATCAAATACTCTTAAAAATACCATATGTAAGCATTTTTTTTTTTCAAGATTTTTTAATACCCTCATTATTATTAAGCTTAGCACAGTAACACCTACATACATCTATTAGAAGAACATGGAGAATTATTGAGCTCCTAGAAGAAAACTTGGAGAACCATTAAACCTATTAGAACTAACCATGATACTCATCCTAAGATTAGACCTTTGATCACCACTACTCGTCTTACACTGATTAAGATTTCATTGTAAAAAGCAAATTGATTTAACTAATAATAATGTACATTAGGTGGAAGAAAACACGAAATTAGTAGTAAACATTAGGACAACTTTCATGACAGTTACAAATATTAACCTCAACCATAAAAACATTCATTTCAGTGAACAACTTCTTCCATGAAAAAGCATAAAGCTCTTGAAAATGTGAAATAAACAAAGATTGAAAAAGCAACGTACGTCGCACCTAAGGTTTATTATGAATTTCACCAACAAAAGAGATTAAATGTAAAACAATGAATTTTTCATGGACACATTTGTATGAAAATTAATTTAGAAACTTATCAATCAGCACAACAATCATTCATGGACAAATCTAGATATTAATTCTTCGCTCTTGCTCCTCCCCTGCTATAAATGGATATATTAAATTCAGGGGACACAAGAAGTAATTTGAGAATGTACATAAAGCAAAGGCCCAAACCCAACAGATGCTTTAGGGTAGTGGAATTAACCATTCGTCACTACAGCCACAATATCCAGCAATAAAATCACAAATCCATTGCAGATATTGGGATTTAAACATAAAGTTGTCGATGCCACTCAACTTCTATAAACACAAAGTGACATATGACATTAATGAAGGAACGAAGATATTAGTGACAAATCACAATATTTTCAAAACTTAGATTTTCTAGTCAGGTAACAACAAATAACTAGTTGAATAAATTCTTCTCATTCATTACGCGGGTCCCCATATTTTTTACCATCGTGTTTATAGCTAACTCCAGCTAGAATTCCACACCACTCAACGAACATCCTTCTTAAATCATCAGCGTCAAGCTATAATATATTTAATATACCAAACGTATAGAAAATAAGCAGCAACAACTATTTAAGATACTAACATGACTGCATACACAGGACTGATTATAAAGAAACGCACATCTCACAAGTAGCAGGAAGGAAAATAAAAAAAAATGAAACGAAACGTTGTTCTCAAAATACAAGGCAAATCTTCGATCATCCATCAGCCTTTGTACATATATCATTTCTTTAGTACGCTGCAAAATGAGAACAACAAGTCAGACGTCATGAAACAGATTACACCATAAAACATAATGAAATTAAAATTCAGGAATACCATCAAGAAGAGACAAGGAAATAACGCATGCAAGACTAGTAAACTCCACCATAAAACACATGCTGTGATATTAAAATCGCAGGAATGCCATCGGGAAGTTGAAAATCAGAAAGGTGTATCAACAAACAGATAAAGCATCCAAGACTTGTAAACAAACACGTGCTATTATATTAAAAATCCAAGTAACGCCATCAGAATGTGACAAGGAGCTACTATCGTAATAGATAAAAAATATTAAAATTTTTGGATAGAGCATAACTTATTTCAACACAATTGCGTTAAAAATTTGATTTATATAGTAGTTTTTCATTTATGGATAATGGATTCGGATTCTATGCTGCTCAACGTTAACATAAGTCCTGTTTAATAATAAATCTTGATTATTTATAAAATTTATTATTAAATCTAACCGATCAAATAAAATCTAACTAAAACTATTGAATATAGTAAAAAATAGATATGGAATTAATCTCCCTTGTGTCTAAAGAATATAGGATAATATATTAATAATGAAGAATGATACAAGTATTCATGACAACAAAACATAAATATGGTAAATAGAAGATATTCTTACAAACAATATCAACAATACCTACCAATATTAAACATCTATATTCCCTGATTAACAATAGAGGCTATGTTTCTCTAATTAACATAAAACTACCAATATCAAATATCTATATTTCCCTAATCAACAATAGAGGCTATGTTTCTCTAATTAATCTAAAACACAATATATTTAACACTTTCCCCCATACTGATGTATATAAATTGTATGTACCCAAGTTTGTTACAAATATAATCAATTATCGGTCCTCTTAAAGACTTGGTGAAAATATATGCTAATTGAGTTAACGAACTTAGTCTTGATGTTTCTAGATACAATCTTCTCTAGAATGAAATAACAGTCAATCACAATATGTTTACAATATGTTTGGTCCTCTCATGAAAGAGAGGATTAGAACTGATATGAAGAGCCACTTAATTCTCACATATAAGTGTCATTTGAGTGACATCTCCATATTATAACTCTCTAAGTAGTTGAGGCCATAAGTCTATATTTTGCTTCAGTACCAAATCTTGCCACAGCATTTTGCTTCTTACTCTTTAAAGAGATCATGTTACAACCAATGGAGACACAATACCCAGAGGTAGAACCATATAACAAACATTTTCCAAGAAATCCTTTAATGTACTTTAATATACATATGACTACATTCCAATGATTTTCTGTTAGGGGCTGGAAAGTATATGAGAGAAAGAGGTATAGGAGAGAGAGAGAGGGGGACCGAACGGTAGATGGCGGGGACCGAACGATAGATAAGGAGGGACGACCAGGCCGAACGGTAGAAGGCGGGGAGCTAGTTGGCCGAGCGGTAGACGAGGGAGGACGACCAAGCCGAACGGTAGAAGGCGGGAAGTTAGTTGGCCGAGCGATAGACAAGGAGGGACGACCAGGCCGAACGGTAAAAGGCGGGGAGCTAGTTGGCCGAGCGGTAGACAAGAAGGGACGACCAGGCCGATAGAAGGCGGGGAGCTAGTTGGTCGAGCGACAGACGAGGGAGGACGACCAGGCCGAACGGTTGGGAAGCGAGGAAGCATCCTAAATGTCACAACAGTTAGGATGAGCGGAAAATTAAATAAAGTAATAAGAGATATTCTGAGAAGATATTTAGCAGAGGATAATTAGAGTAACGAAGCCATATTTTAGTATATTATTGAGTATAAGTTAAATATAGTAAATAAGGCTAAATATATTCGTATCAGATAATTATAGGATTATTTTATATTATTCAGTATCTTTTGGGCAGGAATTAATTAGTATAAATAAGGGGGAAGATTAGGGTTAAGGGCATGCTTTTGATTTGTGAGTTTTTGTAAGAGAGGTTATGCTCTCAGGTAATTGACGGACATCCTGCTCCCAGTTATTGTTTGTTTGCTTTGATACCGTTATTTCAATTCAATAAAGAGGTTTATTCATCTATTTACCATTGTTCATTGTCTAGGAGTGTGTGAGAGGTTGTATTTCGCTAGTTGACATACTCAGGTACGTAACAATTAGTCCGACCTGCCGGATCCTATTGAGAGGAGGAAAGATATCATGGAGGGAAGAGTAAATGCAATTGAAGGGACATTGGAGGTCATAGAAATCTCCATGGGAGGATTGGAGGCAACAGTCTAGGAACTAGTGAAGATGATGGGAGAGCGAGGTCGATGACATGAAGGAAACTCAGATGGAAGTCAGGGGTCTGTCAACGGGAGAAAGGATGAGGAGGGCGAGAGAGATGGCGGCAGGCTAGATGGTGGACACCGAGAGGAGCAGCCCAATTGGAGGAAAATGGTAGATTTACCCATTTTTGAAGGAAGTGATCCGTTGAATTGGATCAACAGAGCGGACAAATTCTTTGAGCTACAAGGAGCATCGGAGGAAGAAAAGTTGCGCCTAGCCTATATCAGCATGGAGGGAATCGCGGGACACTGGTTCAGATTCTGGAGGGAGAAGGCCAGGAACCGTTCGTGGGTAGGATTAAAGGAATCAATGGTGATCCGTTTCGGAGGAAGAAACCGGGGAACCGTCTTCGAGAGACTGGCGGCATGTAAACAATCAAGAACCGTGGAGGAATACATCCAAGAATTCGAAGTCTTGGTCGGCCAAACAGAAACAATACCCGACGCACAGCTAATGGGGTACTTTATGGCAGGATTACAAGAGGGGATCCGTAATCAACTCAGATTACTTGATCCGAGAGAGTTGATGGACGTTATGAGACTGGCAAAGGACGTGGAAGAGTTCCAAGGTGGTGCGAAGGTTGGAGGTGGAAGTATGATCAAGAGCCAAACATGGGGGAAACCGAACGGTTGAGTGACGAGGACAGAACCCAGTCGGCACAATCAGAACCGAACGAGAGTCGTAGAGAGGGGAGGACAGGAGGAAAGGAAGGGACACCAAGGAGAGAAGTGGACCGATCGTCTTTGAACAACAAAGGAAGGAACGTGCGGGATTTACCCTATGCGGAGTATGTTAAACGAAGGGAAGAAGGGAGGTGTTTCATGTGTGGGGGACCGTTCGGTCCAAGCCATCGTTGTTCGGAAAGGAGTCTTTGGATGCTGATACTGGCAGAAGATGAGGAGGAGGGCGGGGAAGAAGAAGCTGAGACCGAACTCAACCAGATAGAGCTATCGGCCTTCTCGACAGGGGGCCTCACCCAGCCCAGAACGATGAAGTTACATGGACAGATAGGGGAGAAGCAGGTGCTGATTTTGATTGACAGTGGCACCAGCCACAACTTCATAAGAAAGGAATTGGTAGAGGAGCTGGCATTACCCGTAGTAGATACCCCACCCTATAGGGTGAGTTTGGGAGATGGGCAGAAAAGGGAGACGAGGGGGTGTTGTGAAGAAGTAATGATTCTCATGGGAGAAGTTGAGATCACCGAACGGTTCCATCTGTTTGAACTGGGCAGAGTTGACGTAATACTGGGGTAGAATGGCTCGCTAAGCTGGGAGAAGTAACACTGAATTGGAAGGACCTGACCATGGTGTTCGGCCAAGAAGGAAGGTAACCATCAAGGGAGACCCGACCTTAGCTCGGCGATTGGTGGAACCAGGGGCATTGTTCAAAATGACAGAAGTGAAGGCCTGGATGTTGGTATGGGAGCTCAGGTGGACAAAGACGAACAGGGGAGGAGAACCGTTTGGTAAGGAAGGAGGACCGATCGGTCAGGGACTGACGAGGAAGCAGAGTCAGGCAATGGAACAAATTTTGGATCGGTATTCAGGGGTGTTCCACGAGCCGCAAGGGCTGCCACCGGATAGGGGCATGGTACACCATATACCACTGAAAGAAGGTTCGGACCCAGTAAACGTCCGGCCATACCGATACCCTCATGTGATGAAAGGTGAGATAGAAAAGCAGGTGGCCGAGATGCTGAAGACAGGAGTCTGAGGCCGAGTACCAGCCCATACTCGAGTCCTGTGATATTAGTAAAGAAGAAGGATGGCAGTTGGAGGTTTTGTGTGGACTATAGAGCCCTTAACCGAGCAACCGTACCTGACAAATTCCCATTCCGGTCATAGAAGAGCTATTGGATGAGTTGAGAGGAGAGAGATATTTCTCCAAAGTGGATTTGAAGGCAAGATACCACCAGATTCGAATGGGAGAAAAATATATAGAGAAAACGGCCTTTTGGACACACCAAGGTCATTACGAGATCATGGTGATGTCGTTCGGCCTCATCAACGCACCAGCCACCTTCCAAAGCGCGATGAATAGCCTGATGCAGTCTTATTTGAGAAAGTTCGTACTTGTGTTCTTTGATGATATATTGGTATATAGCCGCACTTGGGCAGAGCACTTGGAGCATGTCGGTTTAGTGCTAAGGAGGCTAGAGGAGAACAGCTAGGTGGCCAACAAGAAAAAATGTGAATTTGGCAAAGTCCATATAGGTTATCTTGGTCATCGGATATCTGAGAAAGGAGTGGAGATGGACCAGGATAAGGTAAGAGCTGTGGTAGACTGGGAGAAGCCCAATACGGTGAAGGCTTTGAGGGGGTTTCTGGGCCTGACAGGATATTATAGGCGGTTTATGAAGGATTATGGGAAGATTGCCAAGCCACTGACCGATCTTCTTAAAAAGGGGCACTTTACATGGATAGAGCAAGCGGAGGAAGCCATGGCTAGATTGAAGAAGGCTGTTACCACTGCACCAGTGCTGGTTCTGCCTGACTTTGACCAGCCTTTCCATATTGAGTGTAATGCATCAGGAAGAGGGATAGGCGCAATTCTCAAACAAGGGAAGGGGCCCATTGCTTTCTTAAGCAAGGTGCTATCGTTGAGTAAGTCGGTGTATGAGAAGGAACTGATGGCTTTGGTCCTAGCCATACAACACTGGAGACCCTATCTATTGGGTCAAAAATTTGTGGTCCATACTGACCAAAGGAGCTTGAAATACCTTTTGGAGCAGCGCATCACCACTCAGAATCAACAGAATTGGATTGCAAAACTCCTAGGGTATGATTTTGAGATTGTGTACAAGTCGGGGGTCACCAACAGGGTTGCCAACCCCCTGTCTCGAAAGGAGGAGCAGGACACAGAGGAAAAGGAGTTGAGAATTGTGGCTAGACCGTATTAGCAAGACTTCAGGGAGATTCTGGAGGAGGTTGGGGCGGATGAAGCGTTACAAAAGGTAATAGAAGACCTAAGAAAGGATTCCAACTCGCACCCCTCGTTTACTCTAGAACATGATCGGTTACACTATAAGGGGAGGCTTGTGATTTCAGCTCACTCGGCCTGGGTGTCTAAGCTGATAGCCGAGTTTCACACGACTCAGACAGGAGGGCATTCAAGGGTTTATCGGACTTATCGCAAAGTAGCACAATCACTTTACTGGATAGGGATGAAGAAAGCAGTGACTAACTTTGTTGCAAGCTGTCTGGTGTGCCAACAGCATAAATACCTGGCATCCTCTCTGCAAGGGTTACTGCAGCCTTTGCCCATACCCAACGCCATTTGGGAAGAGATAAGTATGGATTTTATCGTGAAGTTGCCTATGTCCCACGGGTATGATGTTGTGTTGGTAGTAGTAGATCGTCTCAACAAATATAGTCATTTCATACCATTAAAACACCCATATTCCGTCCGTACCATAGCTGAAGTGTTTGCGAAGGAAATTGTCTGGTTGCATGGGGTACCGATATCTATCGTGAGTGATAGGGATCCACTGTTTCTGAGTGTCTTCTGGAAGGAACTGTTTAAACTGCAGGGGACTCAACTGAAGATGAGCACAGCATATCATCCTGAGTCCAATGGGCAGACTGAGGTCGTAAACAGGGTGTTGGAGGGTTATCTGAGATGCTTTTGCTAGAACAACCAAAGGGATGGAGCTTAGTACTACCCTGGGCAGAATATTGGTATAATACCAGCTATCAAGAGGCGGCAGGATGCACTCCTTCTGAGACAGTGTATGGGAGATCTCCACCTTCTTTGCACAGGTTCATACCAGGGGAAACCTTAGTGGAAGCAGTCGGTCAGGAGTTGCAGGCAAGGGACGAAGCACTGAAACAGCTAAAATTTCATTTAGCAAGGGCCCAAGAACGGATGGTGAAACAGGCCAACAAGGCAAGACGACCTGCAGATGTGGAGGTGGGAGATTGGGTGTACTTAAAGATCAGACCACACAGGCAGACCTCAATGCCATCCAGACTACATCCTAAGTTAGTCGCACGGTACTTTGGACCTTTCCAAGTCATACAGAAGATCGAGGAAGTGGCCTTTAAGCTTCAACTACCAGACACCGCACGGATACATCCAGTTTTCCATGTATCTCAATTGAAGAAGGCAGTAGGGGAAAGAAGCTTGGAGAGGGAACTACCAGCAGACCTGCAGGTGGAGGGACTATCTTTTTGGCCAATCAGAATTCTGGATAAAAGACAGATACAGCAAGGGAAGCACGAGGTGCCGCAAGTGTTAATAGAATGGCAAGAGGGGGGACCGGATGGAGCAACATGGGAAGACGCTCTGACCATAAGAGACCGATACCCAGACTTCAACCTTGAGGACAAGGTTGAGCTTCAGGCAGTGGGTAATGTTAGGGGCTGGAAAGTATATGAGAGAAAGAGGTATAGGAGAGAGAGAAGGGGACCGAACAGTAGATGGCGGGGACCGAACGGTAGATAAGGAGGGACGACCAGGCCGAAAAGTAGAAGGCGGGGAGCTAGTTGGCCGAGCGGTAGACGAGGGAGGACAACCAGGCCGAACGGTTGGGAATAGCGAGGAAGCATCCTAACTGCCACAGCAGTTAGGATGGGTGGAAATTAAATAAAGTAATAAGAGATATTCTGAGAAGATATTCAGCAGAGGATAATTAGAGTAACAAAGCCATATTTTAGTATATTATTCAGTATAAGTTAAATATAGTAAAAATTAATTAGTATAAATAAGGGGGAAGATTAGGGTTAAGGGTATGCTTTTGATTTGTGAGTTTTTGTAAGAGAGGTTATGCTCTCAGGTAACTGACGGAGATCCTGCTCCCAGTTATTGTTTGTTTGCTTTGATACAGTTATTTCAATTCAATAAAGAGGTTTATTTAGCTATTTACCATTGTTCATTGTCTGGGAGTGTGAGAGGTTGTATTTAGCTACTTTACGTACTCAGGTACGTAACATGAATATTTATTTCTTTTATTAAATTTTCATATGAAGTAGACTCTTCCAAGTCTACGAGTTGGGTTTATGAGTCCAGTCTACATGCCTCCCACACGTCTATGTAGACTCTCGAGTTTGGTAACCTTAAATAGGACTTCTCCTATTGGTCATGAATACTGATTGTGATCAGGAGAGGATCAACTTTCAAATTAAGCAAAGTCCTCTAGTCCTAACAAATAATTATAATAATGCGTTCCATAACATGATTACCATCTCTGCAGAGTTTATTATACTTTCTTTTATACGACAATATCCAATAAATTCATTTGGCTAGAATAGTTTGCAAATTAGTTTGAGGGAAACATTCAAGTTTTACAAGATAATCATGATTCACAGAACATAGGTGATGGGATTACATTCTAGAAACCACGTAAAGGAATATGAAATATGGGCTAGATGGGAAAAAAAAGATTATGTCCTGCATTAAAGGCTGCATATGCATACTAAGAATGTGAGAGAAATGCTTTATTAACAAAGGCAAGTCCAATCTCAGACTTAAAGAGCAGCTTAAAGCCACCATATGAAATATATTTTAAATCTTTAATCCAAGGGAAAATATGAAATTGTACTCGAAATTTCCCAGACAAGATCATGTCAGTAAATACACCAAAATTTCCAGTATTCAAATATAGCAAGACTATAAAGTGCCGAGAGTTTTTAATTTCATGAAAAGAGATAGGAGTCTTACTTGTATAAGTAGGCAGCAATTCCCAAAATTATAATCAACAAAACAATATCAATACAGAAGTTTCGACTGGATCGAAGCTGGATGGAAAAAAATACACGTATTAAGATTCAGAAAAAAATCTCACCTATTGAACTACAAATTCATAGAAATCTAGACATATAGATTGTAGTTAGATAACCTGGTTTACTGTGTCTTTAAGTCTAACATTTGTATTCTTAAGGTCAGATGATGCCTTATCCACCTGTAATGATGACAAACAATTGAGTCATATTAATTTCACCTTCCTAATTAAAGTTCTAAAAGCCAACATTTCCAAGCAGATGCTTAGGCTACAGGCAGAAATTGATAATTCTCACCTTAGTGTCAATTTCATCCATGAGAGGAACTTGTCGATCCAGTTCCTGTATTTGACACACGAATAAAGACCTTAAATTAAATTGTAACACATGTGCACACACACAAGAGAACATAAAAGCAAGGTTAAATTAAAAAGTTGGTCCTATACCTGACAACATTTTCTTATTTTAGTCCCTAAATAAAAACACTCGTTTTAGTCTCTACACAAAATAATGTTCACAAATTGATCCTTGCCATTTTTCAAAGTTATAATGGTAGTAGATTCGGTCCCTATACTTGAAACTTTTTATTGCTTCAGGGTTATATCCGATTAGTAATCCAGTCATTGTGGTTCACAACCTGGATCTTAAAGTTAAAACAAGTGTTTAAATTGTCAACATAAGTGAATTGTTGGTTATCTCTTGACCGACCTATGTGAATCTAGTGCCAATTCCGGAAAGATATTCTGTTATCAAATGATTAAGGGTTTAACACAGTAAAAAAGGAATTTGTTTTCTAGTACTCCAAGCTTTTAGCCTTAAGAGTTTGTTTTCTAGTACTTCAAGTTTTTTACTTCAGGCGTTTGTTTCTCAGTACCTAGGATTTTATCCCAAGAAAATCCAAGGAGAATCTCCCTATAAATGCAAGGCAACTCTGACTTGGAAAGGGAACTTGAATGCTCTAGTTTGAGACCACTTAAACTTTGAACCAGAAATAACTTTCTAGTAAGGGACTACACAATGATACAGAGACTGAATTTATAATCTAACAAAAATCCATAAAAGCAACTGACCTCATTCATATCATGTGCCATGTTTTTCAATGTATCCAATCCTTCAGCAATCACATCCAAACCTTGATCCTAAAAATATTACATGCAGTTAGATTTGAAAGTTGAATCATATTCTTGGAGTGCCATCCAGTAATCAACCTAAATCTAAAAGACATAAGCAATCCTCTCAACTTCTATAAGTTACTTGCCTGTTTCATTCTACGCATTTCATATTCCTGCCTAAATTGGCTTGATTGCTCAGACTGTTGAAAGTAATCTTCATCAAATTGCCCATCTGTATATGAGATGATTGCATGATTCACACACTTTAGCAGAGTCAATCGATAAAAAGGCTCCCAAGGATGAAATATGGTAACTGCATGAACCTGAGACGTGGATAACTTAATTACCTGAATCGAACTTAATTTCAGGACGTGAGGCAGAAGAAGCCCAGCCTCCGGTTTGTTTTGGCACAGGAGGAGACCCATCTGGGATGGCTTGGATTCTGTCTGGCAATGAAAGAGCCAAATCATTACGGGCAGCAAATTCTTGTGAAGATAAACCCTTGACCTGTGGAAACAATGAATCATGCATCAGATAAAAGTACTGTCATTCATTTCGAAACTGTTCATGCTATGAAGTTACTAAGGGCAAAATAAACTTGAGGAAAAATAAATCAAACTTAAGAAAGCAAGTACGTCAAATGGAATAAACTCGTTAGAACTATTAGATTCAAATACTCAGAATTACAAGATTTCCTGAAACCCGTTCGAAACTGGAGTTATGGTAGTAATAACTGTTATAATACAACAGAAAACTTAAATTTACTTTTCAACTCTTGATCATTGTTCAAATTTTATAAAAGGACCCTTCAATTAGTTTAAACAAACTATCCTAGATGCTAACAAGTTCCTAGTTAGATTAATTCAGCAACAAGGTTAATGAGAATTCACAATTAAAACACCTAAAAATCTCAAGCAATCATTTTCACAGGCCAGACAATAACCCTAACAATAGAATAAAACCTTTTTCACAGCCAGTCTCTGCAACTTGGGAACCTCCTCCAGCAACCGAGCCTTAGTACGACGAATCTCCGCATTGATCGCTACAGCAGACGCCTTACCTTTCTCCTTGGAAGCCGTTTCTGCTTTCTGCACAAACAATCAAAAGAAATACATATGAATTTCCTCCAGTACCAAAATTCTCCAACTAGGGCACAAACTGAGTCATAAGAGTTTCGGCGGCATACCTGAAGCAATGCCTCGATGTCGGCGTCGACGGAGGCGTAGAGTCTGGCGAAGGCATCGTCGCCAGGGACATTAGAATCGCGGTGCTTCTCGACATCGTATTTGTCATACTTCTTGCAAATGGAATCGACTCTGGTGAGAATGTCGATGACACTCATACTGTGGCGGTTTCGAAATGAAACACAGATCTCTGACTTGCGACGGTTGTTGCCGACAATAACCAACCGATGACTGTTGAAACGGAGTTCGATCTGGTCGTTTCAGTTGGCGCAGAACTGAGAAGGGATTTCAAAGGGGAAAGAGAGATCATGAACAGCTGTATCAACACAGCGATGAACATGAAACAATTTTTTAAATGAATTATTAAAAAATTCTTTTAATTTGGTAGGAGTGGGACTTACCTTCGTGAGTGGTGGGTGTGAAAAGTGTTCAATTTACAGCGTGTGGTGGACTTGCATATGGTGTGGTTAATTTCAGTACAGACAACGTTAGACGTTACCTAGCAGTCGGTAACTTTGATGTAAGATTTTTTAAATCTATAAATTATACAAAGAAAAGACACATTTGAATTTTAAAAAAATGGAAAACAAAAAGTTATTAAGAATTAGCTGAAACTGGAAAGAATGTAATCTCTTAAAATGCAACAACGGGGTTATGTGAAATAGAAGAACGTGGCTCGCTATATATTTTTGTGTGTTTTTTCTTTCTTTCTTTTTTTCTTTGCAGTGCTTCTCACGTCTATGAAGATAATTTTTTCTCTTTAAGTCACATTTTACTCTGATAATCACCCACGCCTATGTTTTTTTTTCAAATTTTTGCTATAGGGTTCATTTCAGTACTGTGATAATATCTGCTTTCTCTTCCGTTTTATTTCAAAACTAGGATTAATCATTAATGAAAATAGGGTTACGCTCTGCTTCTGTATGTGTTGTGACGTCTGGAATGGTTTCCATTTTTTTGGACAGCTTTGCCTTTCTTTACGTTATTTACGGTTTCATGCTTTGGGTAAGTTTTTGATATATTACTCCAAGTTAATGATTAGGTAAGATCTCCAACTCAAATATTTCAATTCAAATTTAAATCCTCAATTGAAATTTTTGGTACCTGTTTACTTGATTGGGGTTAGATTGAAGCTAATATGTCTCTTTTCATGTTAATTTCTTTGTGTTAATTGTTCTTTAATACAATTTGATAACTTTTTAACTTGTTTAGGCTAATTATAGTAAATTCTGGACAAACAATTTGGTTTAAGTTAATCAATTTGTTCTAATTATCTAATTAATTGGTCTAATTCCTATGAAACAATCATGTTACAAGGTAATTACTTTACTAATTACTTTAGTCAAACTATTTATTACATTTTATGCATATTTGTGTCAAGCTACATGATTTGGGAAAAAGTGTTAAGAAAATGTAACAATAAGATACTCCCCAACACGATTCTCTCTATTTAGGCATATCGTAATCGAATTTGTGTTGTTGATGTCTAAGGCATGTTCAATATTATATTCATATGTAGCTTATATTTGTATTGGTTTCCCATGTGGAACCATAATTTTTTATTACTAACTGGCATCTTAATTTATTCCTTAACGATGGTGATGCATTCACCATAGTTTTAGAATTTTGGTAAACTCATAACTTTTGAATATCCATGTTTTGTGACTTGAGCTTTATGGTAGCATTTGTCTGATATCACTATGGATTGTGACATTAATTTGCCTATGTGCTATTTTGTGAACACTTGACTAAGGCTTTTCTGCTGTGAATTTACTCTCTTATTTTGCAAATAGATAGTGTTTTGATTCTTAGATCCAATGTGTTGTTACACTACAGGTGTGTTCACTTGGAGGTGATTGGGGGAGATGATTTGGAGGAGAGTGATTGAGTGGATTTGAGAAGATTTGAGGGTAATTTTTTTTGTGTTTATTTGAGTGGATTTTGAGGTAATTGAGAGTAGATTTAGAGGTAAAGTTTGTCAGAATTAGTGTACGATTTGATTGATGTGACAATTTTAAAAAATTTGTTTAATTGGTAGAAATTAAAGATTATCAAAATGCCCCTAGGTATTAAAGTGATATAAAATGATATTTGTTTATGTTATATTTATTTGTAAAAATGTTTATTAAGAGTAAAAAATTAAAAATAATTATTAAAAATAATTTATAAAAATTAATTAAATTATAATTTAGTAAAATGAATTTATTTTAAAATGTAGTATTTGTTTTTAATATAATTTAGTTCTAAGTAGTATGAATTTATTTGTTATGGAAGTGAGATTTATTAATTTTTAATCAAGGCGATAATTAAACGAAGTTATAATATTACATAACATAATATAAAAACTATGAACATAATAACATAGAAATATATTTGTAATATATCATGATGAAATTGTTTGAGTTAGGTTTGTAAGCAATCAATCACATAAGTCAAGTACAAGAAAAAAGTCATGTAATACATTGACAGAATAGTAAGCAACTTAATCATCTAAATAGTGAAGAATTAAGTTAACATTTTGATTCAGGTGAGCAAATTGTCGGTTCATGTCGAGAGATAGGTTTGACAAGTTATCTTCAATATGATGAACCAGCACCTGCATTTGTTCCATACCCTGCATTCTGTGTTGCAAGTCTTGTACCCCCTCCCACATTTGAGTCATCATATTAGGATTTGAAAGATGTGGAGGAGGTTCCACAGGGTTGACATGATGGTGTGGTTGCTCTTCTTCTTCATCATCGACGACATCGTGTTGCCAAACAACGTTGACATTAACAATATTCAAACTCTTCAAAGAATTAATTGAAAAATGATGTATGGTACCAATATGAGTGATGGCATCGGCATCAACAAAAACTCCACAATATTGCATGATTTGGGTGATAAGGACACCGTACGGAAGGAGTGTGTCACCGGCCTTGCATTTAAGCATATGTTGCATGATGTGATGAGGTCAATTAATAGCTATATTATTTTTAAGCACCCATATCATAAAGATATCCTCCTGCAATACCCTTGCAAAATTTCCAGGTCGTGGAGTCAACATGTGCACAATAACATAATGCAGAAGTTTATCATTAATATTCAAAGATCCAACTGTTTTAACACGTTCACCTTGCATTTATGGTCTGACCATAATAGCTAATGGCATATCCCGATCATAGGGAAAGTCGTCTGGGATATTTGAATAACACAATTTTTGACCCTTATACTTGATATTAGCAACATTCAACCAATCAGTAGGTTTCAATCTAATTCTTGTCTTGTTGACCTCACTGACCAAATATCCATTACCAGAAATCTTCAAATTTGAATAAAAAACTTTTATCAAATCCGGATAGAAGGGTGCCTGCAACGTCACAAATTCAACCACTCCTTGAAATAAAAGATGATGAGTAAAAAATAAGTTTTGAACCGGCAAATGATTCGAAATTCATTATTTTTGGGACAACAATATTCCTTGGGTAGAAATCAGCTGCGTAGTTTTCCATCAGATGGCTATGACTTAAGAAACGATGTTGATCTAATTGTTCTGCAAGAGATGGTCTGACATAGGCTGCATCTTCTGGCTCAGTTACAGATTCTTTTCCCTTACGACTTTTTCTAGGCCTTTTGGTTGATGATGAGGCCATTTAACAATTTCTTCAACAAAACCATACATAAAAACATGCATAAGTTAAGTCATAACAAATTAAACAATATTAATAATAACAATAATGAAAGACAAAACATTAGATCATAACCATAACCTTAACTTCAATATTCAACATGGATGAAGTCCAAGATGTAATAGTATAATTGAGAAACACAACTAAAAAGATTGCAAAACATTCTAACATTCACCACCTGATATCATTTTACATAACTTGTTCCACCTCTTGTGTTGTGGAAGTCCCATTAACCTCTTTGTACATGTGGGGTTTGAACATAAGAAATCATAACATTGATCGAGCAAGTTTGCATCAGCAATATTCATAGCACTCAACATTTCATAAATGTCGCCCTCTGTGTATGTGCGTGGATGTGCGACGGAGTATTTGATTTCTATCTTCCATTGTTGAGACTTACACTAGGCTGACGACGAGGCCCAACCCGCTGACGACGCGCTTGACGAGCAGTCCTTACACCACTCCTAGTTGCTTAACGAGCGGTCATTAAAAATATAGCAAAAAAAAAATTAAATAACACATTAAAAAGGCATTCGTATTTTCAAATTAAAAACAAACAAACAATAACACTAACCTGTTGAAGATCTATGTACGTGGAATACTTCAAAGAAAAAGGCAAAAGATTGCACTGAAACTCCAACCAATGTAATGAAATAATCACTGATTCTGGACTTTAGATCGTTGTCTATGTTTTTCAACTAATACAGTATCACCAAACCTGTTAATATGATAATATTAGATCATGGTTCAATAAAATCATAAAAGTTTTTAAATGATAATCTACCTTCAACGAAGTCGTTCCAATTCATCAACCAAATCAAAAGAAATAACTATTAATCTTAAATCTTCAACTACAAAATGCATCATCTTGGCTGGCACAAATAACCTTCTTCACCCAAACAAATAACACTTGCTTAACACACGTCCACCACCTTCACAATACAAAGAAAAAAACCATGGTCAACTTCTTCCCTTATCATAAAATTAAACTCCAAATCCCAAAAATCATAATACCAACCACACACAACACAAAAGACGGCTGATGAACTTCCACCACGCAAGACCTTGGCAATCAACCTTCAAGATTTTCCTTCACCACGTTCACTACACCTGCATCACAAACCATCACAAACAAATCGTTAAGACTCTGATATTTGAACAAATAATGCCACATCTACACTCTTTTCTGCATCGTGTTGTCTGCCCATCGTCCTCCTTCGTCCATTGTGTGGCCATCGTCACGGACAGCTTCGTCCATTGCATCAACCAGCATTGGATGTTCGTTGCATCGTCCACCACCACGGAAAGCTCAGCTTCGGACCAAACGCATGCCTCTGCAACCACCACCTCTGCCTTATGGGTACTGCAACGTCTACCTTCATTAACCATCAAGGCGCCAACGACTTCGACAGACGAAGCAAAATGAAGGAGTTGCAGGGAACCAAATACTCCCTCTACAACCGGATCCGCGCTGCAACGTCCCCGCCGCACTTCCTCGTAACCGAATAAAGGTTGTGCTACCCGAATACGCTTTGCCATGGCTTTCTTCAGACGCATGTAACCGGATACGAAATTCGTCGAACCGAATACGCTTTCGAATGACTTTCTTCAGACGCATGTAACCGGATACGCAAATGCTCGAACTGGATACGCTTTCACCGTTTTGCATCTTCTCCATCTTGCCACAGTTGTCTTCTTCATCAACCACTTTCGTCTTCATCAGCCACTGTCTTCTTCATCTCCTCCACCCATCCACCTTATCTTCTTCATCTACCTCAATGGCCTGCAACGTAAAAATATAACACACACAGTATAAACAACTACAATCATACCTTA